AGGACCCTTGACTTAACAAACTCGATAGGTTTCTGACGACTGGTTGTGACTAAGTCAGTACAGCTGAGATCTGGATGTTTGCCTGGGTACATACTATAGATTACAAGAGCCAGATGAATCTTCCATTAACCTAACTAACCCAAGTGGTTTGTATCTCAGGCTGGTTGAGACTTGAGGGTCCACTGTACTATGCTATTTTAATATAAGGAACTAAAGTACCTACAGATTTTGATATGGAGGGAGGGTATCCTGAGCTAATACTGAAGGTACCAAGGGACAAGTGTATGAGATGTGACTGAGAAATATGGTGAATGTTTAAATTTTTAAAAAATTATTACACATGGCCATTAATCTCCCTCAAAAATCCTCTTTCACTTTTTTTGCTTATGACATCCTTTATTCAATTCATATAAAAAAGCATGTAGTATTAACGTAAAACAATATGGTACTAATGTAAAAGGGTCAGTGCACATTAGGTAAATAAACCATTAGCATTCAAACCAATTTTTAAAGGCCTCAGAGGCATACCAAACATATAGAATAATACACTTTTTCAGAGCCTAAATTACAAATTGTGCTTAGTTCTTACTTATCCTTATCCCCTCAATACTCTTTAAGAAAAAAAAAAGTCTGACATAAAAGACAAGACATCTATTAGCCAATTGAAACTTCTTTTTCTTAAGAATGGAAAACAGAGTAAGCAAAATGTTACCGTGTTACCTTCAGTTTGAACACTGTTATTCCATCCTTCTTACCACTTTCAGGAGCAGTTCTGGAAGTCCTCTTTCATGAGTGTCTTTAGTTATGCTGTTGTGACTGCCTCAGGATCCTGAGTTGATTCAAAATGTTTACTTTTAAATATATGAAAAAATGTGCCACATCACTGGTCATTCAAGAGATGCAGATGAAAGCAACACTGAGATTACACTTCACCACACAAAGAATGGCTGCTATCAAGAAATCAACCAATAACAAATGCTGGTGGGGTTGTGGGGAGAAAGGAACCCTTCTCCATTGTTGGTGGGAGTGCAGACTGGTGCAACCACTATGGAAATCAATATGGAGATACCTCAAAGAGCTTGGACTGGAGGTTCCATTTGACCCAACCTCTGCTGGGTATCTTTCCAAAAGAATTAAAAGAATCATATCACAATGATATATGCACACCCATGTTTATAGTGACACAGTTTGGAATAGCCAAAACTTGGAAACAGCCCATTTGCCCATCAGTTGGAAACTGGATAAAGAAGATGTGATTTTTCTATAAAATGGAGTACTACTCAGCCATAAAGAATGAGAAATTAGATTCATTTATAGGAAAATGGATACATATTGAGGATATACTCCTAAGTGAAATAAATATGTCACACATGTGTAAATACTGAATAGTTTCTCTGGTGTGAATAAACTATAATAGTACATAAGATCCTAATGAGATAATTGACAATGTGAATAGGAAGAAAAGGGCTAAAGGTGTAGGGAAAGTGGGAAGGGTAGGGGAAAGGTAATAAGGGTAAGGAAAAAATATGAGAAAATGAAAAAATGGAAATAAAATGTTTATAAATTGCGGGGGTGAAGGGTGGGCAGGGACAAGGGGAAGAAATGAGAACCAAGACCTGTCATGTAAAGGTACAAGATCCCAATAATGAATGTAACTGTACTGTATACCTAAAATGTACCAATAAACTCAATGAGGAGAAAAACCCCAAAATGTTTACTTGTTATGATCATTTTCACTTTAGAGGAGAGCCACAGTCACCTGGTACCAGATCTAGTGAATAAGGTGAGTGAGGAGACACTGTGATGTTTTTATAAGGCTGTTTTCCATTGGATGGCACTTGGCAGTGGCATTTTCCATATTCTGATCACACCTTGTGAAGACACTAATGAAAGGATTTACAGCACTAAGTGGCATGAATGATGGGACAGATGGGATAAATGTTAGGAGTGAGGGAGTACATTGAGGGCGATTAATGGCAACACTGTCTTTTACAGTAACAAATATTTTAAACACTCACTGTATATTTTGATTATCCTTTACAGATTACAATGTGTAACTCAATGATTGGTGTGTTTATGGAGTTAATGAGTGGATAAAGACCCACATTCTTCTAAGAGGATACAAAATTGGAAAACACAGTAAAAGTGGCTGTTATCGTTTAGATATAAAATGTCCCCCAAAAGTTTCATGTTTGGAGGTGGAGCTTCATCAGAGGGGTTGGGAGCATGACATGGAGGGGTGCATTTACGTTCCCAGCTTTTTTCCCTCTCTGCTTCTTAGCTGCAAAGGGGTGAGAAGCTGTCCTCTGCTAAGCCATTTTTTACCTTGGAGCCAGCCTACCATGGACTAAATCCGCTGAAACTGTGGGCCAAAATAAATTTGTTTTGCTTTTTTAAAGTTTTTAGGTATATCTGACCCAGGGCCAGGGAGGTGACTAATACATGAAATTGGCACCAAAGAAGTGGAGTTGTTGGTGTGACTATACCTGACCATTAGGTTTAGAAGCCTTGGGACTGGTTTGTCAGGGGTGAAAGCTCTTGTTTTGAAAGCTCTGCAGATGTAGGTTAGAGAAGCCCTATAATGATGTAAGCAGATCTTCATGGATGAATGCTAACAGGAACGCAGCCAGTGAAGGCTAGGCTCATAAAGTTTCAGATGGGAATGAGTTCTATTTCAGAAAGTGGACTAGAAGCCATGCATGTTTCATGCTGGGAAATAATTTGTTTAGGTTTTTTTCATGTCCTAAGATTTTGTGTGAGGCTCAATATAAAGGTCGTGGCTAATTAATCTGACGGAGGAAATTGAAAGGTTCAGGCTGTGACATGGGTACTCACCACTTTTAGCCAGTTAACAGTGAGAATCTTGAGCAAAAGCAAATGTGAAAAGTTTCACCAAAAAGAAAGATTTGCAAAGTTTGGGTCAAAAGAAGGATGATTGCTGAAAGAATTATTAAATGTATTAGAAATGATGAATATATTAAAAAGAAGCCAATCAGGCATGGTGGCACATGCCTGTAATTGAAGGCGCTCAGGAGGCTGAGGCAGGAGGATTTCGAGTTTGAGGCCAGCCTGGAATACATAGTGAGTTCAAGACCAGCCTGAACTATATAGCCTGTCTCAAGAAACAAAACAAACAAACAAACAGTCAAGTACTCTGGATCAGGACAGTAGCAACAATCACTTGAAGGCATATAAGGAATTGGCCTGACTCCCACATTTGCAGGCACAAGGGTGGAAACCTGTAAACACCTTTGAAAGACTTTGAGAAGAGAGCCCCAAGGTGCCCTGCTCATTGTGGGCCACAGAGGGAAGTATTTTCCTAAATTCATCATTGGGCACTCCATGGCCACTGCACTCAGGGTATAAGGGGCCAGGTTACTGCTCCAGCTGGTGGCAGACCTCGGTGTCATCCATATGGTACCCATTTTATAGGCATGCACAATGCAAGAGTTGTACAGTCATGGAGGCTTCCATCCAGAAATCAAAAGAAGACCTGAGAGGATGGGCAATGTGCTCCTGAGACAGAACAATGTACAAAGCTGTGATAGTGAAGCCAATGGTGCAGTGGATACTCCAGGAATTTTTTTTTAAACAGTCTCATTACGTGGATCAGGCTGGTCTTGATCCCACTATGTATCCCAGGCCTTGAACTTGCAGCAATGCTACTGCCTAAGCCTCCATACTGCTGCAAGTGTAGCTGTGCCCAGCTGCCCCAGGAATTTAAGTGATTGCAGAAACATGGAGTATCTGCTGAGGAAAACTGCAGGCAGTGAGTGCAACCAGCCTGAGAGAGAGGCAAAGTGTGCTGCAACTGGCAATACCATAGTGTAGGAGTTATGACAGGGGCAGGCAGTTAGGACTCTGACCCAGGGAATGAATCCCTTAAAGGAAATGGAATGCACCAAGTAAACAAACCCTGCATCTGAGCTGGTTTTGAGGAATTCAGGAATGCTGAGCAACTGAACTTTTGAACTCTACATTTGGAAGCCTGAGTTTGAATTGGGTATTTGAAGATTATGAGGCTACCTATGATTAATGCCCTCTAGACACTGAGCAAATTTCTACTCTAGGGAGTAGGAAGAACCCTGAAGACCCACGATGGTGAACCTTTTAGAACTTTCAATGATACAAACAGACTGCTGCCCCATGGGTGCCATGGTTTTTCATCACTGCGCTAGATAAATTTCTCCCAGATTGTTCAGGCCCCCACCTGGTCAGTGGGAGCTTTTTATTTTTGTCTTTTCTTTCTCAATAAGCTTCCCCATTTGCAACTTATCTTGCCACCTTGTAATGCTGTTTCGTTCTTTGACTTCCCATGACACCAAACCAGCCTTCAGTATTGTATCTTACCTCAGCCTGCCCTGTATGTTGCACATGAAGCTGCAAGATTTAAGGTTTGCCACGCTGGCTTTTCGTCTTGCCTTAGTCTGATTTCTTTTTGCCATTCCTTCTTTTTGAAATGGGAATGATTACCATGGGTCACTGTATGTTGGAAGTATTTTAACTTTTTGAAATTTACAGGGGTTCGCAGCTCAAGCTGCCTTGAGTCTCGGGAAATGGAATTTTCAACATCGTGGGCACTGTAAACAATATGTCATCACTTAGAGGTGAACTAAATGCATTTTGCATAATGAGACTGATATGAGCCTTTTGGAGACCAGGGGCAGAGTGTTATGGTTTAGATCTAAAATGTCCCCCCGAAGTCTCATGTTTAGAGCTGGGGCTTGGTGGAAGTGGTGGGTCATTTGGGACATGACTAGGAAGGGTGTTTTCTTGTTCCCAGATCCTCCCTTGTTCTCTGCTGCTTCACTGTCACAGGGTGAGCAGTTGTTCTCTGCCATGCTCTTCTTTTTTTTTTTTTTTGGTACTGGGGATTAAACTTGGGTCCTTGCACTTGCAAGGGAGGCAGTGGCACCACTGAGCTAAATCCTCGGCCCTGCCATTACCGTCTGTCCTGCCACGTCTGCCTTGGAGACAGCCTACCATGGACTGAATCACTTGAAAACCATGAGCAAAAACAAACCAATCTCTTTCAGTGGTGGGTGTCTGTCCCAGTGCTTGGAAAATGACTTAATACAGTGGCATATTCAATAAAATAAATCATGTCCTAAATCATATTTGTACCTATAATTGTCTCCCAAAAATTTATTAGAAAAGGGAAAAATAATACTCAGTGTCTACAGTTTTAGCAAGATAAAAAGCATTCAAAGATTGGGGAAGAGAAAGCAGAGATTACCTTTATTTTTCAATCTCTGTGTTTGCACATACTTCCCAGCTGCTGGCATCTTCCCCACTGTGTTCTTCTCCCCTCTTACTAATTTTCTTTGCATTCTCTCCTAAAGGTGGCTAGAAGACAAACATATTAACCTAGAAGGTGATTATTAGAGGCATCAGAAGTGTCTTTGCATTGAAAATATCTAACCATCACTAGAATGGTATTTATCTTCCTACGCTTCAATTTTGAACTCATTTTTTAATAAAACATCAGATCTCTTCAAACCACATATGTATGTCCTAATTTAGATTTGTGACTTGATATTTAGTATTTATGAGTAAAACCAGATTTATCTTTGACAGTCATTAGTAAGGTTTGCAAAGAGTATTGATAATATAAACATATCAACTGTCTGTTGGTAAATAATGAGAGATATAATAGGTAAGTAAAATCAAAATTTTAAAATTTTATCAACTATGAGGTATCATTCTAGTTTTATGAATTGTTGTGTTCTTGGGTATGTTTTTCTATTTATTATTTTTATTTTTATTTTTTGTACCAGGGATTGAACTTGGGTCCTTGTGCTTGTGAGGCAGGTAGCAGAACCGCTGAGCTAAATCCCTGGCCTTTATGTATGTTTTTGAGACACAGTCACTATGTGGTCTGGCCTGGTCTCAAGCTTTGAAGTGCAAGTGATCTTCTTACCTAGGCCTTCCAAGTAGCTAATACTACAAGTATGTACCACTGCACTTGGCTTCTAATTTTTAAAAGTCATTTTGAGATAATTATAGATTTTCATGCAGTTGTAAAAAAAATATAGAGTGGTATGATATTCACTTTACTGTTTCCCTCAGTGGTAACACTTTGGGGTAACTATAGTGCAATATCATAATTAGGAAACTGATATTGATATTATTTATTCAGATTATCAACTTTATTCAGATATCACCAGTGTTAAACTCGTCTCTGTGTGTGTATAATTCTATGTAATTTTATCACATGTGCAGATTCATATGACCCTGAACAAGTTAATCACAAGGCTGCCTGCTCTTTGAAAGCCACAATCACTTTCCTTCTTATTTCCTGCCAACCTCTGTGACTATAATTGAGTTCTGCATCTTTATCATGTTGTCATTTACAGAATGCTGTATAATTGGTGGAGCATGTCTGACATCCCAACATGTGGGAGGCTGAGGCAGGAGGATCCCAAGTTCAAGGCCAGTCTGGGTTTTATAGCAAGGCCTATAATAGCAAGACCTTGTCTTAAAATAAAAGTTATATAAATGAAAGCATACATTATTCAGTCTTGAGATTGGCTTTTTAAACTTATTTATTTATTTTTGGTACTGGGGATTGAACTTGGGTCCTTGCACTTGCGAGGCAGGTGGCAGAACCACTGAGTTACATCCCCAGCCCTAGACTGGCTTTTTAAATCGATATGATTGGGCCTGGGATGTAGCTCAGTGGCACAGTGCCTGCCTGGAAAGCATGAATCCCTGAGTTCAATTTCTGGTACAAAAAAACCCCCAAAACAAAAATCCCTCCAAAATAAAATCATAAGTAAAACTAGTATGATTCTCTTGAGATCATCAAATTATTGTGTGTACCAACAGTGTTCTTGCTGGGTGTGGTGGTGCATGTCTGTAATCCCAGCACTCAGGAGGCTGAGGAGGAGGCTGCAGCAGGAGGATCGCTACAAGTTCGATGTCTGCATGGACTACATAGGAAAACCCTGTCTCAAAAAACATTTTTTTTTGTTCTTTTGCTCAATAATTGGATCACCACAGTATTTGCCCATTAAAGAATTTGTGGATTGGTGTCAGGTTTTGGTTAATTAGAATAAGGCTCCTAAGGTTTTCATATGAACATTTTTATTTCTCTAAGATAACGAGTGCATTTGCTGGGGAACAGTAAATACATATTTAGTTATATAAGACACGTAAACTTTTCCAGATTGGCAATATTATTTTCATTTCTGCAATATAAGAATGATCCAGTTTCTCTGTCCTTTCCAATACTTTATTTTATAAAATACTTTCTAATACTTCATTTTATTTCAGAATCTAGCCATTCTGAAAAATATATTGACATCTCATTTTGATTTTTATTTACCTACTGGCGAGTGATGTTGAATATTTTTTCATAAGCTCATTTACTATGTTTCCTGTTTAGTGAAATGTCTATGCCTTTGGCCCATTTTCTAATTGGATTTTGGAGCCTTAAAGTCTCTTTATGTTAGATACAAACCTTTGTCAGAATGTCTTGTAAATATCTTTTCCTAGTCTATCGTTTGTCTTTTTACCATCTTCACAGGATCTCTCACATAGCATACATTTAAAATTTTGATGATCATCTTAAGAATCCTGCTTTCGCTAGAATGCTGCCTTGCTGTAAGTTATAAAGATTTTCTCCTAAAAGTTTTGTGGTGGTATATTTTGCATGTAAGTCCATGTTCCATTTTGAACTGATTATCATTTTAGTATAAGGTTAGGTTATCCAGGTACTCCAACACTTGCTGATATATTATCTATCCTCCGTTGAATTGTTTTTGATTTGCTGTCAAAATCACGTATGTTTAATGTACTTATGAGGATAGTATATTCTTACCCGTCCCATTCTTCTTTCATTTATGAAGAACCCTTGATGCCTTTTTAACAGGCAACCTCACTACTCAGGTAAGGGCCATGTAGTATTTATCACCGTTCTGGCAAAAGTAGAGCACTGCCTGAAACTCACTGTAGATGAATGAGATGGCAGTTCATCTTCTTTTCTGGACCTGCTAATACCTTCACAATGAAAGTAAACATTCATTTGTATATCATGTTGCCTCCCAGTGGGCATATAAGTGCACTGACACCAGGGTAGGGGACAGGGAAGTGGAGTGCTAGCTAGTTCCTTGTCCCACCACCTTGTTACCTTACTGATGCCCAAGTGAGAATGGAGACTAAATGTCACTGGTCAGATATTCTAGTGGGATTTTTTTCAGTGCTGGGGATGGAACCTAGAGCAAGTACTGTACCACTGAGCTATACCCTGAACCCTCTAGGAAAATTATTTTTAATTTTTATGTTCATGTTTCCCACAATTCTCAATTTAAGTAGTAAGTAAAGGAAAAACAATTTAAAATGTATTTTAATCTTTAATTAATGCTGACCTCTGAATGTATTTGCTTTTGTATGAAATGATTTGCACACATTAGCATTTTCCAGGGACAAAAGCAAAAGCTAAAAGTGTCTTAATACAGTTATTTAACATCCTTATATGGGATTAAAAATGTACTTGTTCTTATTTTCTGTATAACCATGAGTTCTTATTTTCATAAAGTATCTTCAGTAATTTGTAGAATATTGTCTACAATAGTTTAATAGTATATGTGCTGATTTAGAAGTAAACTGCAGTAACTGCAATACTGTACTTACTAGCAGTTTCTATGGTCTTCAATCTATGATTTAATAGCAGAATGATCTTATTTCTTGTTCTGGGGTGATGAATGATTGTTATGATTTCCCTATCCTGATGGAGCTTTATATGTCCTTAGTCCATCTTTTGCATTGAGGACAAAGTTTATTAAGTTGGAAGGCATGGTTTTTTCAATTATTGATGGGGGCAATTTTCCTCTCATTTCTGTCTGAACAAACATCACTAGTTTGGAATATGCTGGGTTTCTGTAAGCAAAGGAAAAGTTTGAGAAAGGTAAAGAATTTTTAGATTTGTCTACTGAATGTATCATTTTATGAGGAGCAGGATTCTTGTCTTATTCATCATTGATTCTTCATAGTTTTTATGGTAGGATAGTAACTGAAGGAGGGGAAACAAAAGGTAGAGTGACTTACAGTTGCATCTTTATAAATAACAATTTTATATAAAATATTAGTATGTTTTAAAATCTTCAATTTTAGGCATCTTTTTCTTTTTTGTAATTTTATTAACTTTTTGAGATTATATGGATATGAACCCCACATACACCTATACATACACATACACCTACAGGTGTATACAGTTTTTTAAAAAGAGAGATTATTTATTTTCTGCAGCTAGCTTTATTTTCCTCTTAATAAGATATCTTGTCTTTCTGTGTCTGTACTTGCAAATTTGCTTAATTGTTTTTCATAGTCATGTGCAGTACTTCATAATTTAATAATCCTTTTATTGACTGTCAGGTTTCACTCATTTGTAAGTAGTTTAAGTTGCAATAAAATATCTTCATGCATTTAACTTTTGATATATTATTTCCAAGTTGCCCTCTAAGAAGACTAATAGTTTGTAGTCTAACGCAGTGATCTCCAAACTGGGGTATAAGAGGTTGAATACTTTTAAGGGAATAAAAAATTTAAATTTCTAACTTCAGTATGTATTTTTCCTTAATCTGATCTATGTTTCTGATAGAGATGTAGGCTTTTCTTTTTGATCAGCCTATTCAAAATAACTCATCTGCTTTACAAAACAAAGGCATACTTACCACTCACACTAAAAAATAAATAACTAGAATTGTGGTGCTTTTCTATGGCTTACAGTATAAAAATCTTTGAAATGCTAAAGGAAAAATTTGATCTATTGGAAATGAGTTGAGAAAGCAACTAATAACTGAGTGATAAATATTATTTCAGTCATGTCAATTCTTTCAATAAATTTATGGATTTAATTGAATTGTCAATTGATAGGTCATTAATATATTTTTGCTGATAGAAATGTAATTCATTTTATATAATTCAGAAGGATTCTAAGGTATGAAATGTCAGTTATATTTTTTCCATTTGAATTACTTTTGTGAATAAAATTTCTCAGTTCTCATTTTATATTTATAAAGTGAAAAGTAGGAATAGGCTTGGTATTGAAAGTTGTCTTATTTTGTTAGTAATATTCATCCACAGTTAAAGGAAATGAGGCCAAAAGTTGGAAACATGGATGCAGTAACCAGTTTGCTTTGGTTTAAAACTGAGCTTTGCTATTACCTATGTATAAGGTTGAGAAAGCAACATAACCTTGGGCTTTCACTTTGTCTTTTGAAAATTGGGCATAGTAACACCATCTAGTTCTGGGTTTACTTTGAGGAATAAATGAATCAATATATGTGAACTATTTAGAAAAGTCCTGGCAATACAAAAATACTATTTTGCTAGTGACAAAAAATGTGTTTTCAGTATTACTGTGCTCTATGTTTAATAATTATGTGAAAAAATTTAATATATTTTAAAAATTGATCAATAAGTAATGATAATTTATTCTATATAACATTAAAAAGTGGCTACAGAAAACAAATTTAAAAACAAATTCATATTATTTTTACAAAAAATTATGGTAAGTTGATTAAAAAATTTAATTCAAGGCCTAAAGTTTATTCCATTAGGATGCAATTATGTGAGTGGAAACAAAGTGTGAGTTTAAAAAAGAGGAATGAAAAAAATAAAAAGAGGAATGACAAGAAATTGCTGACTGCTAAAAGCTGTGTGTATTTTGCAATGGATAATGTAATGGTGGATTTAAAGTTATGGTACTTAGATTTTACTGATACATTTATAAGGGCGATACAGCCATTTAAAAAATGCCAATATTTACAGTATACTAGAAATTATACTGCTTTCTTCAGTTGAATCCTACAGAAAGTTTTAATGTTGATAAAAACATTCCAGGGGGAATATAGTTTTAAAAAATTCTTTTGAGGGTATGAAGATGCTGTGCTAACCAACAGTGTTAGTCTCCATCTTCTTATACCCTTCTCCATGCAGAATGTAGACTATTTACCATGGGTTTATGCACATAATAAAGCTTCCCCAGTATTTACTACAGAGTAATTGCTACTGATAATATATTTCATAGGTTTCTTGCATGCCTTGTTCATAAATTTTGGTTGTCCAACATGTTGGACTACATGGAAAGAGATGGCAAAAAGAATGATTTTTTTTGTTAGTATCTTTCTTTATAAGTATGAATGAGACTATATCTTTATTCCAGCAGGACATGAGGCAGAATTTGGACCCCACCCAGATGGGATATCAAGACCAGATATTTTTGTCCCATGTGTTTTGTAGTGGGAAGGAAAGGTTGATAAAAAGTTCAGGAAGGACACTTCATCTGTGAGACATGCTTACAGTGTGTAATTTTCCATCTAGAGTCTCTGCAAACAACTGATTTACTTTCATGATTTGGAGCAATAATCCTTCTTTGTTTTGTTCTTGCATTCTATGGAGAATAAAATCTTGGCCATGCATCCAAAATTGATAAATGAATGGAAAGACCACACATTATTACTGTTATCATTATCTATACCAATGATTCTATTTATTAATACAAAATTTAAGTTCTCTTGTTCAGTAGAGAAAACATTAAGGAATACAGATCTATAATTTTGGCTTCATTCAAATACTTTTTTTTTCTGAGAGTTTATACCTTACCAATATAAAGTTCTACACTTATTTTCTTAATATCATTAGCATAAATTAGTACTTAAGGAATTTGTGAAATGATGTACATTGAATTATAGCACGTGCTTTTACAGACATAGATGTAGATGTGTAGCTCATATTGCCATTTTTTTCCCTGAGTTTGGCACCTGTAGGCAGAAACTGATCTCTGATTTCTCCAGCTTTCCTCTTATCTGAATATTCTGGGTATCTTTTTCTGCAAATCTCTGTCTCTCAGCCGGTAGTCCATTGGGAATAGTTCATTCAAGATAAATAATTCACTGCTGATAAATATGAATTATTCTAGGAAAATTTATTTTTAATTCACAAAAACTCCTTAATTTATAAAAGTGACTAATGGAGAATGAGAAATACCAGGGAAAACTGAACTGTAGGGAAATGTTTGTTGACCTTGAGTACTTCCAGAAATTCAAGTACTATTTTATAGGAAATAATACATTCTGATTATACTTAAGATGAAAACAAATATAATAAATGATTTAAAAATTGCATTTAGGGGCAGTTTTTACCTCAACAGTATATGCTGGTACATATTTCTACTGACGAGAAAGTCTATCAAAAAAAAACCTGTCAAAATAAAATAAATGCAAATAACACTTACTCTTTCAGAGGTGAACATACATAGCCACAAGGATGGTTACAACCACGGACATAATTGGAAGATGGAGGATATCCTGGGAAATCCACACTTTTAGCTAAATGATTTAAAAAAATTGAAATAAAGATGAAAAACTATTTCCAGCAACATATTTTAAAAAATGTGTAACACTTAACTTGTTATCAGCATTAAGTTTATAAATTTGTGTATATATTTGCACTAGTATTTCTAAAGATGCTGTTATCCTTTTTTATAAGATAAATTATTAAAAGTATCATTTCATTATTTTCTGAGATTTGAAGCAAATCAAAGAAAAAGATTTGGTGGTGTCACTGTGGTTCATAGATTTTTGTCATTGCTTTATTAATCATTTTCTTTAACATATTTCAAGTGGTTAGATGATTTAAAATTTCCTCTTCTGCTAATTTCTTGTAACTAGCATCAAAGTATAATTAAAAATCCATAGAATTTGTTTTAATAACTGTGTGATGTAATATTTACATTATGTGTGAATGGAGAGGAAAGATTTGATTATGCTTAAATTTGTAATTATGCTCTTTCCATAAATATTTTAAATAATATATTTGCTTATTTTGTGTAAATAAATCTTGCTGTTGGCAGAGATGTATTTTTTTCTATGATTTTAACATAAGCTATCAGTTCAGGGGACAATATGAAACACTAGCTTAAGAAACATGGAGTTGAGTGAATTTTCCATTTTGTATCATGATTTTAACAAAGCCTATTATGTTGGCTTAATGGTACTGCCAGAAGTAATATTAAAATATTTTTTTCTGTTTAAAATATGGAGTTACACTTTACTCCTTTAAAAAATGTGTTATAGTTTACAGGTGTACATACTGGTGTAGGTCTTTTGTGAGGTAGATAGTGTGATAGTTAGCAATTAGTTTAGAAAATCAGAAACAAGAGTTTTAAATTGTTTCAATTGTTTTATACTATTCAGCTTCATTTCTTCACTGCTTCATTTATGTGAACTTCAGTTTCCTTATTAGTGAAAAAGTGCACACAAAATATTTAGCTCAAAGTAAAGTGCAGAGCAAGCTAAAAAAAAAGCACTAAGAAGAAAACTAATGGGGGTCTCCTCTGGAGCCGTGCCGTTTCCAGAGGGCGCCAGTGATTGGCTCCAGCACAGCTCCAGGCGGGTGATTTTTGCGTCATTGCCCCAGCTGGGACTCAGAGCCACCTCTGCTGCTGTGCCCAACCCGAACTATGGGCCTCCTCTGGAGCTGCGCCGTTTCCAGTGGGCACCACTGATTGGCTCTTACACAGTGCCAGGAGGGTAGACCCCCCACCTCCTGGCTATTAGATCTGCTGATTGAGCCAGTACTTGGACGCACTCTGCAGAGGCATGGTGGGCTATAAACGGTGGTGAATGATCCTATTATGTTCCTGACTGTATTCATAGGGATAAAGGATAGGGATTGATTTGATGAGTTCTTTCCTCAATTATGAAAATGAGAATGTCTATAAGTCACTAGAGAATCAAAGACTGGGATGCAACAATATCAGGAATATTTAATGACCCAGAGATTGAATCAAGGGCAACCCAACAGCAAAAATAAAGATGAGAAAACACTTAAGCAAGGCACAAAAACAGACTTCTAGTCCACCAATGGCAAGCAGTAGGGCAAAGGAGGATGAAAAATCAGATAGTGAACCTCCAGGACACTCAGAACTCACAGCAAAGGAAGTAAAAAAACTAATCAATCAAGCTCTAGAAAAATTCAAAACAGAAATTCCCAGATAACCACAGAGATGGTGAGCAAAATGAAAGACATGATTTGAGACTCCAGAACAGAAACTGGCAAAAAAATAGATGAGCTTAGGAACATAATAGAAGCCATGAAGGCCCAGCATAAGAAAGAAATGGAACAATGAACAGCCAACATAGGAAAGAAATGGAATCCATTAAACAGATTCAAACGATATGCAGGAGATTAAAAACTCTATAGAAAGCATATGCAAAAGAATAAAAGATTGCGAAGATAGAATCTCAGATATAGAAGATAGGATAGCAGACAGTGACCATGAAAAGAGATGTCTCTTAAAAACAGTCAGGGAGCATGAGAAATCAATCCAACAACTCCTAGATGATGCAAAGAAGAATAACGTAAGACTGATAGGTATCCATGAAGTACCAGGAGAAAATGCAAATGACTTAAAAAGCCGTTCAAAGAATTAATGACAGAAAACTTCCCGAAAGGAGGGGAAGAATTAGACATACAGATAAGCGAGGCATATAGGACACCAATAATAATCAAGATCCCAGAAACCCAAAAGAAGAACAAAATACTGCAAGCAGTAAGAGAAAAGAAACAAATCACATGCAAAGGAAAGCCCATCAGAATCACAGCAGACCTTTCAACACAAACAATCAGGTCAAAGAGACCCTGAAGTGAGGTGTTTCAAGTCCTAAAAGAAAACAACCTCAACCAAGACTGATGTATCCTGCAAAACTCTATTTCAAAATGGATGGAGAAATAAGATACTTCCATAACAAAGAACACTTGACAAACTTCATGAATACTAAACCAGCACTACAAAGAATTTTAAACAATATCCTTAAAAAAGGCAACGAAGATCACAACACCAGGAGGCCCAACAGAGCAAATCAAATAGCCAAGGCAAGAAACTAAAAGGAGAGGACAAAAAATAAAAAGAGTCAACAAAAGGACAGTAACATGACAATAAGAAGTCAGTACATATCCGTTATAACCATCAATGTCAATGGCCTCAATTCACCAATCAAGAGAAACACATTGGCAGAATGGATTAAGAAGCAAAATCCAACAATATGTTGTATACAAGAAACACACCTAGTGCAAAAAGAAGCCCATAGATTGAAAGTGAAAGGATGGAAAACAATTCTCCACGCAACAGGAGTCCATAAAAAAGCAGGGGTAGCAATCTTATTCACAGACAATGCAAACTTCAAACCAAAACTGATTAAGAGAGACAAAGAAGGCCACTACATCCTTGTAAAAGGAACAATCCAAGAGGAAGAAATGACTATCATAAACATATATGCACCAAATATAAATGCCCCAACTATATAAAATAAATATCAAGTAACATGAAAAACCAAATAACCACTAATACAATTGTAGTGGGAATCTGAATACCCCACTATCACAAATAGACAGATCATCTAGGCAAAAAAATCAACAAAGAAATACTAGAACTGAACCAAGCTTTTGAACTTATGGACTTATTAGACGTCTATAGAGTATTCCACCCCACAAAATCAGAATATACATTCTTTTCAGCTGCACATGGGTCAGTCTCCAAGATAGATCACATACTAGCTCACAAAACAGGTGTGAATAAATTAAAAAGAATTGAAGTTATTCCCTGTATATTATCAGATCACAGTGCAGTAAAGCTGGAGATTAATAGCATAAGAAACTGTAGGAACTTCACAAACACATGGAAATTGAACAACACTCTCCTGAACAATGGATTACAGAGGAAATTAAAGAAGAAATCACAGTTTTTGCAAATAAACGAAAATGCCAATACAACATACAGGAATCTATGGGACACAATGAAAGCAGTTCTATGTGGAAAATTCACAGCACTGAATGCCCACATTAGGAAAACAGAGCAAACTCAAATAAACAACCTAACGATGACTCATACTCCTAGAAAAGCAAGAGCAAGAAAAACACAAAGCTTGAACAAGAGAGGAAATTATAAAGATTAGAGCAGAAGTCAATGCAATGGAAACTAAAAAACAATACAAAAAATAAATGAATCGAAGAGTTGGTTTTTGGAAAGAATAAATAAAATTGATAAACCCTTAGCTAACCTTATCAAAAAAAGGAAAGAAAAGGCTCAGATTCATGCAATAAGGAATGAAAAAGGCGAAGTCACAACAGTTCCCACAGAAATGCAGAGGATCTCTAATACATACTATGAGAACCTGTACTCTAATGAAATGGAAAACACAGAAGAAATGGACAGATTTCTAGATACTTAAGAATTACCAATGTTGAACGAAGAAGATAAAAACATTTTAAACACTCCAATCACAATCAGTGAAATTGAAAATGTATTAAAAACTTACCAACAAAGAAATGCCCATGTCTGAATAGACTCACTGTTGAATTTTACAAGACACTTAGAGAAGATCTACCGCCATTACTCTTCAGACTTCTCAATGAAATTGAAAGAGAAGCAATACTTCCAAATTCATTCCTGGAAGCAAATATCACTTTGATTCCCAAATCTGGGAAAGATGCAACTAAAAAAGAGAACTACAGGCCAATCTCCTTAATGAATATAGATGCAAAAATCCTCAATAAGATACTAGCAAACAGAATATAGAGGATCATCAAGAAGATCATACATCCTGACCAAGTCCGATTTATTCCAGGGTTGCAAGGATGGTTCAATATATGTAAATCAATAAATATAATACATTATATTAACAAAGTCAAGGACAAGAACCACATGATCCTCTCATAGATGCAGAAAAAGAATTTGACAAAATTCAACACCCATTCATGATAAAAACTCTGCAAAAAATTGGAATAGATGGTCTATGTCTGAACTTAATAAAGGCTTTCTATGAAAAACCAACAGCCAACATCATATTAAATGGCCAAAAACTGAAAACCTTCACGTTAAAATCAGGAAAAAGACAAGGATGCCCACTATCACCACTCCTCTTCAATATAGTTCTGGAAACATTAGCCATAGCAATTAGACAAGAGAAAGAAATTAAAGCAATAAAGATAGGAAAGGAGAAGTTAAACTGTCATTATTTGCTGATGATATTATATTTTACATCGAGGACCCAAATAATTCTACCAAAAGACTTCTCAACTTAATTGACACTTTTGGCAGAGTAGTTGGATACAAGGTCAACACTCAAAAATCAATAGCCTTCTTGTATACAAACAACAGACTCACTGAGAGAGAAATTAGGGAAACAATTCCTTTCACAATAGCATCCAAAAAAATGAAGTATCTGGGAATCAATCTAACAAAAGAAGCAAAAGACCTCTACACTGAAAACTATTGCACTCTGAAAAAAGAGATCGAGGAGGATATAAGAAAATGGAAAGACATCCCTGCTCCTGGGTAGGAAGTATCAACATAGTGAAAATGGCCATACTACCAAAACTGCTATACAGATTCAATGCAATGCCAATTGAAATTCCAACACTATACTTCACAGAACTAGAAAGAAGAATCCAAAAATTCATTTGGAACCATAAGAGACCGAGAATAGCAAAAGCCATCCTAGGAAACAGACACATGGCAGAGGGTATAACAATTCCCAATTTGAAACTATACTACAAAGCCACTGTGATGAAAACCGCATGGTACTGGCAAAGAAACAGACCTGAGGATCAGTGGAACAGATTGGAAGACACAACAACAACTCCAGATGCACTCAGCTACCTCATCTTTGACAAAGGAGCTGACAGTCCCCACTGGAGGAAAGATAGCCTCTTTAATAAATGGTGTTGGAAAAACTGGATCTCAAGCTGCAAAAGATTAAAATTGTCACCATGCACTAAATTAAACTCCAAGTAGATTAAAGATCTAAATATAAAAACAAAAACACTAAACTTGCTGGAAGGTAAATTAGGTAGAACTCTTGAAGACATTGGCATAGGAAGAGACTTTATGAACAAAATCCTCAGTAGCATGGGAAGTAGCAGAAAGAATCAACAAGTGGGATCTCATCTTATTAAAAAGCTTCTGTACTGCAAAAGAAACCATCAATAGAACTAAGAGACAACCTACAATGTGGGAAAAACTTTTTACCAGCTGCTCCTCAGACAAAGGACTATTATCTAGAATACAGAAATAACTCAAAACAACCAACCACCCCAAATATAAAGACCTGATTCTAAAATGGGCATCTGAAATGAACAGACATTTCTCAGACAAAGAAATAAAAGCCGCAAGTAAATATATGAAAAAATGTTCCACATCACTGGTCATTCGAGAGATGCAGATGAAAACAACACTGAGATTCCACCTCACCCCACAAAGAATGGCTGCTATCAAGAAATCACACAACAACAAATGTTTGCCCAGTTGTGGGGAGAAAGGAACCCTTCTCCATTGTTGGTGGGAGTGCAGACTGGTGCAACCACTATGGAAATCCATATGGAGATACCTCAAAGAGCTAGGACTAGAGGTTCCATTTGACCCAGCCATCCCTCTGTTGGGTATCGTTCCAAAAGAATTAAAAGAATCATATCACAGTGATATATGCACACCAATGTTTATAGTGGCACAGTTTGTAATACCTAAAACTTGGAAACAGCCCATCTGCCCATCAGTTGGAAACTGGATAAAGAAGATGTGGTTTTTCTATAAAATGGAGTACTACTCAGCCATAAAGAATGAGAAAGTAGATTCATTCGTAGGTAAATGGGTACATTTTGAGGATATACTCCTAAGTGAAAGAAATAAGTCACACATATGCAAATACCGAATAGTTTCTCTGGTGTGAAAAACTAAAATAGTACTCAAGATCCTAACGGGACAATTAGCAATGTGAAATAGGGAGAAAAGGACCAAAGGTGTAGGGACAATGAGAAGGATAGGGAAAGGGGAATAAGGGAAAAGGAAAAAAATATGAGAAAATGTAAAACTGGAATTAAAGTGTGTGAAAGTGGAGAGGGGAGGAGGGGGTGAAGGGAGGGTGGGGACAAGGGGAAAAAATGAGAACCAATACCTGGCATGTAAAGGTACAAGATCCCAGTAATGAATGTAACTGTACTGTCTACCTAGAATGTACCAATAAATTCAATTTAAAATGAAAAAAAAAAAGAAAACTAATGGTATTCATCAAAAATTTGTTAAATGGAAATTTCTTAAGTGAATTCAATTGTGATTAGTGTACAAATCACGGATTTCCTATAATTGTTGGTTTAACTTCTGTGCTTCTTTTTAAGCTTCCTTCTAATCATTAACAGACCATAGTAAGTTTGTTTTCAAAATATGAACTATAACAGATTTATGATTCAGACAAAGGAGTATTTTGTAGAGTAGACAGTGAATATATTTTGTGTGTTTTCATTTCAAAAATGAGACAAAACACATAGGAATGTTATGAATATCTGCCCTTAGGAGTCCACTGTGAGCCAGAGTGAACTGGGTTTGGGTGAATGTAATGACTCAGTATGGGTTGTGAAAGTTGACATACAGTCATCTGAGAGTAACTGAAACTTCATTGGGAAGCAGTAACAAAACATAATTATTTCTATCCTTAAGTAGTTTACAGTAGAAGAAACTATTAAGATAGGAAGGGTAAGAATAAAGCAAATTATAGAGAAAAATAGGAATTTATTTTTACTCTTCTACCGCAGTTCCTTTACCATTAGTTATCTTAAATTGTCATAGTCCAAAGACCCTTATGGTATGAAGTGTTTAAATTTTAAGTGAATAAATCAAGTAAAGAAATGGTTTCACATTTGCATTTTACAGAGTGACACATTTGCAGAGGAAGTTAGGGATATATCAAAACCTCTAGTTCCTAAAAGAATAACCTTTATGTAAAGTCACACCTAGCAGATATTTTTCAATAGATTTATCACTTACAGTATATGCCCATTCTAAATAATTCAAGTATAAAATTATATATCCATAATTAATTTGTTGTTAGGATTAAAAAATGTATGCCTTGAAGTTTTAGCAGGCAATCCTCTTCTCTACTTATATTGAGTCCTGCAGTGTTTATGCTGTAAAAATTCAGGAGATGGTATGATCATTGACTCCTATATAAGTGATGCCTCCTAGGTTGGGTAGAATAACTGGCATGATAATATGATAGGTATAGTTATAGGTCAAGAGTAAATTAAGACAAAAAGAAAATAATTGAAAAGAGTTTCTTCCAAACTGTGAATTAAAGGGAAAAATTATTAATGACTCATTGATTCCAAAATATGGGCAAAATGTTTCAACTTACAGCTGATAATGGCCATATTTCCTTCATAGTTCTTGATGAATACTAAGTCAATAAAGTCTCGGGAGGAAACTGAGCTCATGGCAAAACTTTGCGTAATGATATAACATATAAATGTGTCCTGAAACCAAACCATAAAGATTACAAAAGACTATTTAATATTTATCACTTGTATTGTTCCCCAAAGAATTTCATTCCATAGGATTGGTCTCTATTTGGAAAATGCAAGGCTTTGAAATTTTAAGACTATCTCCAAATAAGCTTGCCTTTTCAGTGTTAAAGACATATTAGAGCTATAACTGAGTGTAGAAAATTCAGGGAGTAATCTTAAGATCATCTAGGTTTTCAGTTTTTAGAAAAATACAAGTCCAGCAATTAAATCATATGTATAGCTAGAGATATGTACAGAGCTAGAATACAGGTTTTCTGGTTCCTACTCCAGTACTATTCTTATTACTTCACATGGGCTAGGAAATATAGTATGAAAAATACATATCTGGCAAAACTTGGTGGGTCTTGATTGTTATTAACAGCAAGTTTCTCTCCCCCATTTTTTTTGGCAAGTGATATCCCCTAGCTAAATAACTTGTAATCAAAAGGACCAGCACAGCTATGATTTAACCCTCAAGGCATTCATTTTTTGAATCCTAAGAACAAATTAATTATGGATATATATTTTAGTGGCCTGTGGAATTATTATTATTATTATTATTATTTTATTTTTGGTACCGGGGATAGAACTTGGGACCTTTTGCTTGCTAGGCAGTGGAGCATGGAGCTAAATCTCCAGCCCGGGAATTATTAAAATAATAATTCCATCACATCATCTTGCAGGAATTGAGGGTCACTTTACCCTCTCAATACTACAAAGCCCACCTATCACAGCCTCTATCTATTTAATATATTCTCATATAATCCTGTATGACATTGTGTCCTTTTCTCCAGGTCTGTGATTAATGACTAATAAATCACTGTCTATCTCATTTGTCTGGTGTTAAGTGTTGTGTGTTTGGCCATTCCCACAAACTTAGAGCAGAAATTCTTTTTTCACTCATGGGTTGAATAGGAGGTAAACACAGTGATGGAGATTAATACTATAAATATTTAATAGGAAGGTAAAATAATTTTTCTTATAGTATGAAGCTATTCAGAGATACTATGGAATACCTACCTGAAAGGGTATGGAATTTGGAATCAGGAAACCAGGTATAAATCCCAGTTCTATAATACATTAATTAGCTGCAGTAACCATGAGCAAATTACATAATATCTCCCAATCTTTCAAGTTTGTTGATGCCAAGTCTAGTATTTCCATTGTAACAGCTTACTTGCACCAGCAGCAGAAATATCTTTATGACTTGATTCATACAAAGATGAATGAAATATTCCAATGTTTGGATTTTTATTTGTGATGAACAATGTTTCTCAGACTGAACATTCAAATCTCAAAAATCATGGACATGTATTTTTTTATTGATAAGAATGTCAAGGCCTCCCTACAAGATGAAATTGATTCACCTTCTTCAGCCTTCATTAAATTTCCCCTTCTAGACTTCAAGATCAATTTAATAAATGTAGATAAAAATACCAAGTTCTAATAAATGTTAAAGTGATGGGCAGATACCATACATGGAGCCTTATCTTTGTTTTAGTGGATTGAAGACTCAAAGAACCAAAGATTTGCAATTTTACAAATGCAATCATTAATAAAAATCATGTTTGTTTTACTCCCTTAGCCTCATTTACTGCCTTTTCCTAATAAAGTCATCATTAGCTAAAACCACAGCACTTTTTGGGGGGTGCTGGGGATGGAAGGCAGCCATGCATATGCTAAGCAAGAACTCTACCACTAGGCTATACTTCCAACCTTGTTTGAAAGACAGTTTACTAAGATATAATTTACAGATTATAAATTCACCCATTTTAAGAATACACTTTGAGTTTTCTAAAATTTATTTAATTTTGGATTCTCACCACTATTCAGTTTAGAATTCAATTTTGGTCCCTTTCTCCTGCATCAGTAAATCCTGCTGATTCTCTACAATGCATCTTGAACACTCTGATTTATCCGCCTTCCTCTGCAATCACCCTTGCATAAACCACTCTGGTCTCATTTGGATAACTAGGAGAATCTAATGATTGTTGACAATTTCATTCTTACTCCCTTACAATCCATTCTTCTTTTGCAGTTGTCTCTTAAAATCAAATCAGCCCTTCTGGTTTAAAATACTACAATGGCTTTCATTGAAGTTGGAATAAAATGTCTCCCCACAATCTATGACTTACAGAATCAGATCCCAGCCTAACTTCTCCAACCTCACTTCTTACTACGTTGCTTGTTTTTTATGTTCAAACGTCAGACTCTTCATCAAACACTGTCACACTCTAAAATTCAAGTTCTTTGCATTTGCTTTCCATCTGTTTCTGTCTCCCAGATTGTTGCTTGCCTGTCTGCTTTACTTCCATATATCATTATTTAAATTTCTATCCAAATATGTCTCAAAGACCTTTTCTGATTAACTAGCTATCAATTAGCTTCTTCTGGTCATTGCCTTTAGTCTTTATAGTATTTATTCTTATAAGTTCTAGCCTTCATAATACTTTTCATTATCTGATACTATGGTTCTTTATTGTTTACTTATGATGTCTCTTTTGACTAAAATATACTTTCTGAAGGCAAGGACTTTTCTATCTTCCATTCCAGCACATGAACAGCAGTGTATATAAACAGCAGTTTGCAACTGGTGCTTGAATGTATTTGCAGAATGAATTAGTCAAAGAGAATAAACATCTTTCTAGAAGACACTGCAATAAAGTCAGGATGGTGTCACAAAGCTGACTCATAAAATACAAAAAAATATGTGACAGAAATGGAGAATAAACTTTAATATATAACAGTAATACAATTATTTTCCTTTCCAGGTGCTTAGAGGCAGCTATTGCTTCTTTTTCCTTGTTCTGCCTTTCTGTACCATGTATTATTCTCTCCCATTTTATTCATTTTATTTCTTCCAAGCTTTTTCACTGTATCTTCTCCTCGTACTGATCTTTTTTTCTTCCCCTTTCTAAATCTTGCTTATTTCACACATTCCCTCTTACTTTCTCTCACCTATCTTCCATTGTCTATGCTGATTACCTATAGTTTTATTTTTTTAGTCTCCTTCATAGCTATTTAACTGAGATAATTTATTTGAAAGTATTCCTAAACACTCTCTCTCTCTCTTTCTCTCTCTCTCTCTCTACGTATATATATATATGTATATGTATTTTTTTTTTAATACCAGGGATCGAATTCAGGACCTTGCACTTGTGAGGCAAGCAGCAGAGCCACTGAAGCAGGCAGTGGAGCCACTGTAACATTTTACATAGTATTACAGTATTTCTGTGTGCTTTACCCATATTCTTTAATGCTAGTCATAGGTCCTTATGGTATCTGCATTGTTCCTGTTTTTAAATGCATTATGAATTGCTTTGACTTCTCATCAACCAGGCATGCTTAATTTTTGTTTTCCATGTAATGAGTTCAACCTTTGTGACAAACTACACATCAGCAAGAGACATATTTACAAACAAAATAAAGCTAGTTAGAAGTAATTTTCGACTAATAGAGAAGGAAGTTTTAAGGCTTTTATAAAAATTTCAACTCAATTTGAATCTACAAAATTCTGTCTACATCAATAATTTAAATAACTCATTAAAATATAAAACTAACATTATTAATTCTGTAAAAATGTAGTATTAACAAGTTACCGAATCAATCTTGTGTACCACATTGTATGCTTTCAATGATTTGTCCCATATAAGCCTGTTCCCAGGCTGGTAGAGGAAATCAGATAGTTTAGTTGAGGATTCTGGAATTATCCCTTCAACACGATATCTGTAGTTAACAAAATTTTAAAAATTCAAAACTTAAGTTAAGCTGAAAATATACTACTACCAAAGTTAAAGGTAGGCTAATTTAGCAAATAACATTGGAGAAAACTTGAAGTATCTGAACGTATCTTGAAGACAAGTTGCATAACCTTATCTGAAATGTAGTTCCACAGTGTAACTGTTAGCACTGCGGACTCTGAAATGCTGGGGACCAGAAATGTCTCAGATTTGTTCAAATTTTGGAATATTTGCATGTAAATAATGATATATCTAAGGGATGGGACTCATGTCTAAACACAGAATTCCTTTATGTTTCAGAATTTTTTTATGTGTTATACCTAATACATAAAGCAATTTCATACAATATTTTAAATAATTTTATACATAAATATTCATGATGTGGAATATTTTACTTATGGAGTCATGTTGGTACTAAAAAAGTCTGAGATGTTTGAGCATTTGTGATTTCAGTTTTAGATTATGTATCAGCAATTTACTGTATGGTACTAGTATTCAACTAGAAGTAGCAAAGTTTAAACAAGCATTACAATAATTATAGTACTTCAAAATTCATTTTTCTATACAATTTTTAGAGTTTCAATTGTCTTTTTATTTATTTTAATTTTTTCCATTAAGTTTATTGGTACATTTAAAGCAAACAATACAGTTACATTTATCATTGGGATCTTGTACCTTTACATGATAGGTCTTGGTTCTTGTTTTTTCCCCATACCCCTGTCCTCCCTTCACCTTTCACCCTTCCCTATTTACAAAGACTTTGTTTCCATTTTTCCCATTTTTCTTTTCCCTTATTTCCTTTCCCCTCTCCTTCCCACTTCCCCTTTAGCCATTTTCTTCTTATTTCACACTATCAATTATACCATTTGAACCTTATTTACACTTTTAGTTTTTCACACCAGAGGAACTATTTGGTATTTACTCAATCATCTTTTTAAAAGGGCTGCTTTTGTTTAGGATTAGTCTAAAATTCTTCTACTAAATTACTGACTGTTATATTTATCATAAGCCAACAGTAACCGATGACAAGTTTGTGTGGTTATGCAGTACAGTATCTCATGACTACAATTTTAAACTTAAATTTGTAATGTGATTTAGAGCAAGGGTCTGCAAACTTTTCAGTAGAGGCCCAGATGGTAAATAATTTAGGTTTTGTAGATCACATGGTTCCTGTTGCACCTGTTTAATTCTTCTATTATAATGGTAAAGTAGCCACAGGTAATATATAATGAATGTGTGTATCTATGCTATATTTAAAACTTTATAGACTTTTTTTTTTCAGTGCTGGGGATCACACCTTTCGCCTCAAGCATACTACAAAGTGCTGTACTTCTGCGCTAATCCCATAGATACTTTGTGTGTATGTGTCTGTCATACTGAGGACCCAGGGCCTTCACACTGAGATAAATCCCCAGCCTACTGTATTTTTTTTTTTTTTTTTTGGACAGGGTCTCTCCATGTATTCCAGATTGGCCTTGAAATCACTATGTAGCTCCCCCTAAACTCAGCTGGCCTTGAACTCATGTTCTTCCTGTGCAGCATCTTGAGTGTTGGGGCTATATGTGTGTATATTACTATGCCCAGCTAGGACATGAGATTTTCTACCCTTACGTACTTCAGCCTGGTAGTCAGCCAGGCACATAAGTAAAAAAATTCATTGGACAGGATGGTAAATGAAGAGCTAAAAGTGCAAGAATATGAGGGGTAATAAGGGGACTGCAGCTCTTTTTAGATGATCTGGAAGACTCTTTAATAGTCATTCCTGACAGTGTTAGGGACAAACAATATTAAAATGTTGGTGTTTCTGATGATACTGATTCTGTTACTTGTGAAGTACATAAGTGTGTGAAATGATCTAGTTTAAATCCCTGATTCTGTTTTTAAGAATGCTACAAACTCACCACTCAAAACAAATTTTCATTTCAAAGTTGTTCATAAAGTGAGAGGGTAGCAGAGCTTAAACAACACTTTTCACATTATCTTATTAATTATCTGCATCATTTTGACAGTCAAGAGGAATTTTAAAACTCAAAGTTTAGAAGATATTGGGCCAGGATGAATACTGGGCTAAGTTAGTAATCATTATATTTGTTATTTGAAAAATTTCAACCCATTTAAACTTGAATGCCTTAAGATATTTACAAAAATATCGCACTTGTCTACCTCAGAGAGTAGAAGAATTAAATGTAGCGGTGGTAATGATGGTAATAATAAAAAGTATGGACATAACTGACAGAGAAGAAAAGAGTAGTAGGCTACATAACCACTGTCTTACTTTCCTGTGCTGAGACAAAATACCCAACACCCAAAGTTAAAAGGGAAAGGTTTATTTAGCTCACAGTTTGTAGAGGTTTGAGTCCATAATTGGGTGGCTCCAAGGCAGGGTGGCTTGGCAGACAGGCCAGAGGAGAAACAGTCCATGGCAGCCAGAAGCAAAAAAAAAAAAAAAAAAAAAAAAAAAAGCAACAAGGGAACCTTACCTGCATCCTTCTACCTCTTTTATTTTATCCAAACTACTGGGATTAGGGTGGTGCCAAATCAATCCATGTACTGGTTTAGTAATCACATGCCCTTAATCCCACACCACACACTCTAGATTCAGCCACCTCTGACTACATGAGGCTTTGGAGGAACATCTAGACCCAAACCATGAAACCATTTAGACTCAACCATGAAATATCTAAAGATAGAAAAGGTACAATACTAAACTATTCCAGATAACTTGCCTCAATTATTTTGCAGATAGTTTTAGGGAAGTCAGAGAAAATAATGATTAAGAAAGTACATCAAACCTCTGCAGCAAAGTCCTGGCTTTTAAAAGTTTTTGTCTCACTAGCATTTATGAGCTAGGAGACTTTGGGATAGTAATGTATTGATCTGTAAAATTCATCTCAAAAATGGGGATAACAGCAGTGCTCACATTGAGAGAAACATGAGGAGTAAATTTAAAAATGAAGCATCTGTCATAATGCCTGATTTATAATGAGATTAATATACGTGAGCAGCTTCTAACATTTAGGGAAACTTATAGGCTAAACTGTGTGCTGTTAGGTTTGTATTTCATTGCTTAAGGGCAAAGGAAATAAATTCTAACCAAAAAACCTGGCTCCCTTTTCAAGTTTACAAGTGCTCAAAGCTAATCATAAAAGGTACTTTTTTGGTGGTAAATTATTAAGAAAAGTCAAATTTTGATAAAATATGTTTTTTGTACCATAGGATTTAACTTTTCAGCTAGTAAAGTTCATAAATTCATTTAATAAATATTATGTGTCTGTATTACAGGGATTGCTCTGGTGCTAGGGACACTGCAATGAATGCATGATATATTTCTACTCCGGTTTTAAGTTTCTATTCTCATCAATTTTATATTCTAATAAAAGAGATATATAATAAAATAACAAATGCATAGTCAATAAATTCCATATAGTGATAAACAGTAGCTGAGAGTATATTTGGAAAACTTTTGCCAGATGGTCAGGAAGATGATTCTGAAGAGGAGATAATGAAGTTGAGACCTTGACTAGAAAAATGACATTACCTCGTAGAGATTTGGGAGAAAAGCATGTCAGTCAAAAGAACAATTATGAAGGCCCTATGGGTTTAAATTCAATGCATCAAGCAACAGAAGTCTGTTGTGGCTGTAATGTAAAAAGAACAAGGATGAAGTGATACGAAATGAAGTCAATATAGGTAGGGGCCAGATGGTATGGATTTTTAGATGTAAAGAGAAGTCTTTAGAAGATTTAGTTAGAGGAGTGACAGAATCTGAATTATGTGTTAAAAATCTACTTTGGCCATTTTGTGAAGAATAGGAAGTAGTTGAGCAAGAGTAGATACAAAGAGCTTGTTAGGCGCTTACTCTGGCAAGAGATGGTGCGTGCACTAGGGTAGTAGCAAGGCAATAATGAAAAACTACTACTTTTCTCTATGTGTTTGGCTAGATAGAGCTTCTTTCAGAGTTCAAATCTGAGATCAGTGACTCATTCTCTAGGCCAATGTTTTATAAACATGTTATTGGTTAAAAAAAAGGAAAATTTGAATCAAACACCTTTCTTTACTTTAGAACTCCTTTAAATCTGAGAGTGAATTTCTAAGGGGAGAATATAGCATGGAGTGTTTTTAAAACTTATTTGACACTGAAATCCATATTTCTTCCATGGATTATGAGAGGTTGTACTTTATATAGTGTACTACAAATCCCATAAATGTACATCCATACTATATATCCCATAAATATATATAATGTATATAATATATGTATAATGTTTATATACAGCTTCTCACTGTACATTCATATGGATGTTTCTTCCTTTGATTATTTACAATTTTTTAAAGCCAAGAAGCTTTGAAGCACTGGAAAAATGTAAGTTCCCCTAGCTTTCCCCCAATTTAATGATGATCTCACTTTGTTCTGTAGAGAATGTACACTTTCAAATGAGGCATGCCAATCTGGCCAGCCTATTCAGCTAGATTTGAGTTTTAAGTAATTTTAGTCACTCTTAATTGTGAAACAGAATTAAAAGAGTCTGCCAATGCCAATATAGATAAATGGTAAGCAGCCTCTAAAATGGCCTTCAATAACCCTAACCTCAACATGCTATGTAATATTCATATTCTTTCTCTCTCTCTCTGAGTCAGATCTGGATACAGTGATTAACTTCTAATAAATCAAATACTGCAGCTGTCATGGAATATCACTTCTGAAATTAGGTTGTAGAAATACTTTGGGTTCTATCTAGTTTGCTTTCTATCTATTGCTTCCTCCTAAATCCCTCCTCTGAGTTAAGTGGCAATGTTTTTAAAAAATTTTTTTTCTTATTGAGTTTATTGGTACATTTTAGGTATACAGTACAGTTACATTCATCATTGGGATCTTGCACCTTTACATGACAGGTCTTGGTTCTCATTTTTTCCCCTTGTCCCTGCCCTCCCTTCACTCCCCTTCTCCTCCCCCTTTACAAACATTTTATTTCCATTTTTTTCATTTTCTCCTATTTTATTCTTTCCCTTATTACCTTTCTCCTACACTTCCCACTTTCCCTACACCTTTAGCCCTTTTCTTCCTATTTCACATTGTCAATTATCTCATTAGGATCTTATGTACTATTTTAGTTTATTCACACCAGAGAAACTATTCAGTATTTACACATGTGTGACATATTTATTTCACTTAGGAGTATATCCTCAATATGTATCCATTTTCCTATAAATGAATCTAATTTCTCATTCTTTATGGCTGAGTAGTATTCCATTTTATAGAAAAATCACATCTTTATCCAGTTTCCAACTGATGGGCAAATGGGCTGTTTCCAAGTTTTGGCTATTACAAACTGCGTCGCTATAAACATAGGTATGCATATATCATTGTGATATGATTCTTTTAATTCTTTTGGAAAGACACCCAGCAGAGGCTGGGTCAAATGGAATCCCAGCTCTTTGAGGTATCTCCGTATTGATTTCCATAGTGGTTGCACCAGTCTGCACACCCACCAACAATTGAGAAGGGTAATAGTTACAGAGGCCCTCAACCCAACAAGCCCATGAGGAACTGACCCTGCCAACAACCTTAAGATGTTAGAAGAAAGCTTCCTTTACTTGAACCTCTGTATAAGTGCTAATCCCTGAGCTGACATCTTAGATACAGTTTCATGTAATTTCTTGATGCATAGCATCAGGCTAAGCTGTGTCAGGACTGCCAATCAGCAGAAACTATAAAATAAATGTCTTAAGCAACTAAATTATGGGGCAATTTGTTATGCATCGATAAATAACTGGTATATAATACATATATATTTAAAAATTTTTTTCTTTTTATTGAGTTTATTGGTACAGTCTAGGTACAATGCATATAAATTTCACTCAAATAGAAGTAAAAAGTTCAAGTTTTCTATTTAGTTTTGCATGTAAAATGCAAGTAAAGTATTTCTGATAAAATGTTCCAATAAACTAAAACAGCCTAAGGGAGGTTAGTCCTTCCTTGGTTTTAGGGATTATACATAATACCTTGCATATACAGAAAGTATCTGTAGAATGAATGAGTAGCTTCCTAGTTTTCTTTCATGCATAGCTTGCTGTTTACATCACTTTTATCTGTAAGAGACAAAAGCCATACTATGCAAGAGTTTATTTCCTTTGTGTCTGGGCTCGACTATATCCATTCCACCTTCAGTTTATTTTTGAAATTGCCACTGGTACAATCTTTGTTTAAATAAAAAGGAATTATTTTCCAAATAATTTAAAAAAATGAATAGGAAGAAATCATATCTGCTTTATCTAATAGTAAAAACTGGATTGATATAAATGATAGGTAAATTTTAATCAGGTTAAAAATATCTAAGAAGCACAAAATGAGGTATATGAAAGGAGTGGATTCTAAAAGAAAGAACTGAATAAAATTTGGACTTGTCATTAATGTGATGACCCAATGGAACTGATGTGGTATCATAAGCAATAAATGACATTTTAAACAATGAAATTTTAAAAGTCAGCACAATTTCTCTTAGCATATTTGTATTTGAAATAGTAGGATTCCCAAAAATATCTTAAAAGCAACTTTTGGGAAAAGCATATAGCAGCAAAATAAATGAAGAAAAAAACCTCTAATTTTTAGTAGATAGAAAAGAGTTTAAGGCTATAAAATACAGTGCAACTTTTAGCAAGAAGACAGCAAAATGCTTATATACTAGTTATTTCTTGAAGTGGAAATTTCCTATTTTAGTGAGTTATTCATTAGTAGGGGTATTTGTTTCTGTGGGGCTCAAACTCAGAGCCTCATGCATGGCAGGCAAATACTCTACCACTGAGCCATACTGCCAGCCAAGAAGAGTTTTTTTGGAGGGGCAGGGGAGGCTATTGTCTTTAGGTTTGAAAATAAATGATTAGATGGTACATAATCACTATTTTATTAATATCATACTGTAACCTAATTTCTATTTACTACCCAATAATTTGCTGAAATTGTTGAAGCAGCACTCAATTCCAGATACAGTGATACTACTGAATTTAAAATAATGATTACAAATAGAAAATTGTACTCACATATTTCCGACAAATCTTTTAGAAGCCTTGATGGAAACAGTTACCTTTTTCTCAAAAAGAAAGAAAAATCCACAAGTAAATTGTCAGATGTAGAAAAAAATGAAAACATAAAAGTAAAAATATTTTTTCCTGGTTAGTAAAAGAAAATATTTTAAAGAAATTTCTTTACAATGATTTCTCATTAAAAAATAAATTATTATAGGGAAGGGAAGGGTGAAGTGGGTGAAGGGTGGGCAGGGGTATGGGGAAAAAACAAGAACCAAGCTATATCATGTAAAAGTATAAGATCCCAATGATAAATATAACTGTATTGTTTGCTTTACAGGTACCAATAAACTTAATGGAAAAAAATAAATTCTTGAAATATGATTGTTTTCTTACTGAATTTTTAATCACTTTCCAGCCAGATGTATCTTGATTGTAACCAAAAACTTCTTGGGCAGTTTGTTGGGCAACTGCCTTATAGTCCATCTATCTGTAAAGTATTAAAAACAAATGACAAGTAAGCATGTAATCATAAAAATACTTTTTTTTGAGTTAGTGTCTTACCATGTTGCCCAAGTTATTCTTGAACTTGTGAGCTCAAGCAGTCTTCCAGCCTCAACCTCTTGACTAGCTTGGATTACAGGCATGTGCCACCATACCTGGCTCCTATAAAAACTTTTAAAATGCTATACTACTCTTTAGTATTATTTCTACTATGTCTGTCAACACACAATAATTATTTGTTCATTGTATGCATGAACCTTTTCTCCTTACAATCTTTCAAATGAAAATCTGTGGCATAGTGGAAAAAGCCAGGCTTTCGAAGCAAAGATATCTGGTAAAGATCCTGTATCTGTAACTTACTGTGTGAAGCATTTTACTATTTGTTTTCTCATTTTTCTCTTGGTATAAAGTTGTAGAATGAGTGTGAAGATTGAGATGATGCACTTAAATATTCTTCCCCAGAGACTGGCACATAATAGTCATGCAATAAATTATTATTTCTTATATGTTTCCTTTCCCTATAATGTAGCACAATGTGCTCTGTGGTCACCAGGGCAGAGGCCTTATGAATGAGACTAATGTTCTTGTAAGAGACTTTAGAGAGCTCATTTGCCCCTGCTGACATGTGAAGACAGCCAGAAGGTGGCAGTTTGCATTCTGGAAGAGGCCCTCCTCACCAGAAACCAATTATGATGGGACCCTGATCTCAAATTCCAGCCTTTGGAACTGTGAACCATACATTTTTACTAAGACTGATAAATCACCCAGTCTATGGTAGTCTGTTGTAGTGGCCCAAAGGGACTAAGAAAGTAACAGTGGTAGGTACAGCAAAGGCAGTTGAGAACAATACTGCTTCTGCTGTGAATGAGTTCAGAAAGCTGTAGTCCTCTGGCCTCTCAGCCTGTTTTCAGTTAGGCAAAGCTGGCAGGTATGTGCAAAGAACATGCAAACAGACAGGGATTTAAGTTTTGACTTTGCTACTAACCACCACCTCTATTACTTTGGGTGAGTTGCTTAACCTTTGAACTTCAATTCCCATATTTATAGAATGGGAATGATAATACTTATGCAATCTATAAGGATTGACTTAAATGCCTAACACAATGAGGGGGTAGTTTCTTTTCTTAAAATAGGCTCATTTAAAACCATCATTAAAAAATTCTTCAAAGGCCACTTTCTTAAGCACTTCAATAAACCTTAAAGTTTAATTATCAGAACATTTCTCTCTTAGGTGTCATCTAAAACTCTTTAGGTTGGATCATACATTTTTTCTTGTTCATTTCTCCAGCAAAGTAAAGCAGCTAGATGATTTTTTAAAAATATTAGAATAACTTCTTTCCTGGTACAGTCCTCATTTCTTTACCTTTCCTAATACATCTAGACCAGAATTTTAGTAACCACTGGGACTCTTCTCTAATTTCTTGTGGAAATCTCCATATGTGTTAACCTGTAAGGGAACAAAGAAGAATTACTTTGATCCATGAATTGGGTAAAAATATTTTATAAATTTCTTTGTATCTTCTTAATATGCTTCACTTACAGTTTGTCTTTATTAGGAAACGTGCTATATATATGCAAAGATGAAGGAAAAAGGTAATGAAACTTTATAGTTTACAAAGAATCTTTAAATAATTATTTTAAAGGAGGACACTTTAAAAAAGTATTTAGATAGAACGTGGGTTAAAAAGATCTAAGTTTTTATGCTGATACCATTAACAATCCTTGTCTGATCCCTGACCTGGACTTGTCCTAGCACATAAAATAGTTTATTTCCTATCAGCAACTTACTTGATCTCGACTGACCTAGAAATATTACAGATCACAAGTTATTACTAGTTGTAAACTCCTGTACGGATTGTGTTTTATAATTTTCAAATCCCTGACATTGACACAATGGATGTATTTGAGTCACAGGAATTGAATTTCATGCCTTTGAACTTTTACATTTACTAAGAGAAATTGGAAGGTAAAGTTTAGTAGGCTACAGGGGGTGGGAATAAAAGAATAAATAGCAGAGTACAGTTCTACTACCTGGTGATGTAACATCAGATGAACTGGAACATATTCAAATGGAGGATTGGTCCAGGATATCTTCATTCATAGGGTCAGTGGAAAGCAAACATAAACATCATAAAAAGATGGCATCTTTTTTTTTATATATATATACCACTAGGTTAAACTGGATTCTTTGAATCTCATATCCTGTTCTAGCCATTGCATACAGGTTCACCACATATGGTTAATGGGCCTTTTGCCTGTTCCTATAATCGCCCTTTCTCTGGGCTGCCTGACTGGTTTCCCAAACCGTATCAGGGCACTGTCGTTTTTCCCTGGGAATCAGGGTCCCTAAAGAGTTTGCTCAGTCCTGTCCCTGGCGGAACTCCCTTCTCCAATCCCGCATCTGCTTTTGTATTTGAGGAGCTGGCTGGAAGAAAGCCTTGGAGAGCCGGGGCTCCCCAGTGGGAAAGGGAAGAGGAAGGGGCTGAGGAAGAAGGAAGCGGTCTGGGATGGGAGCCGCCCTTAGGCTGAGATGTTGCCTCCTCTCGGGCGGGGATGCTCTGAGAGCCGGAAGGCTGAGAACTTCCGAAAGGACTGGGGCTTTGAGGCTGGCTCGCAGCGACCGGAACTGCAGCTGCCAGGGCCGCGAAGATTCTTTCCCCTGGGTGCCCCCTCCCACAGCCCCAGGGCGGCCGAAGAAAGAGGAGCCAGTCCGCTGAGCCGAGCGGCCGAGAACCGCTGACTGGCCCTGGAGGGGGTGGGACAGAGCCCAGAGCCATTCTCTCCCAACCCTGAAAGACGACGCCTCAGAGACTACACCTCCCAGCCGCGACCAGGACCGAACGCCTCGCCCGGGGGCCTCGCTGCCCACCCAAGGCAACCTCGGCCCTAGCGCCCAGCGCTGCGCATGCGCAGAGCGAGCCGGCGCCATGTTGGGTCAGTTTGAACGCGAGCGCGGGCGTCCAGTTCTGCTGTGACGGCGGGGGGAACTGCGTGCCGAGGGAGTCTGAGGCGGACCATTGTGCGGGGCGCGGATGCTTCGTCGCGTCGGCAGTCCTGTAATAACCCCGGGCTTTCGGCAGTGTTGTGGAAGTGTGCGTTTAATATCTCTTTGGGCTTTAGTGGGTGACTTCGGCCGGAAGGGAGGGAGCCGTCCCGTTCTTTGACAGCTGAGGGAAAGGCTGAGGGATGGGCGGCGAGAAGGGAGGAGGACAGCGGCTCCCCGGGGTGGGCCACCCGCGCGGAAGGGCGCCGTAGGCGCTGAGCTGCTTGGCCGGAACGCCCGGGGGGATGCGGCTCTGTAGGGGCTGCTTCTGCATTAAAGGTCTCAGAGAAGTCACTCCTTTTGAGGGCCCTGTGTGCCTGAGGGGCCGTGGAAAACGGTGGCGACGGTGTTAATTAAAGCCAGGTGCGAAAGTTTGAAACGAGCTCTCCAGAACGGGCGGAAGCTGCGCAGCCAAGGGGCGTAGACGGCCTTTACTTTCCAAGAACATCGGTTTCCTTTCTGCTGCGGAATTCACTAGCGTTCGCTTGCCTAACTCAGGTCGCCGAGCTGCTGTTTCCAAGAGTTGTTCTAACTAACCGTGCAGTCCTGTTGGTTTTTTAACACTAAACGTTCTGTTTTTGAATCAAGGTCGGTGAAATGTCTTGCTCTGACTTTACCTTTCTATTTGCCGTCATGGATTTGCTTTTGGAAATTCGAACTGAAGCTTTTGCGGAGGAAATGGTAAGATGTATGGGATTTGCTTACAGTACATGGGTTTCGAAATAATCCCGTTGTTCAAGTGGGTGGGGTTTTGCGTAAAAAATTGAGGTGTGTTGATAACGGTTCCTGGAAGCATAGGAGTTTATTAAACTATTCTACTTTTGCATACATTTGAAAACTGTCGATAATAAAAGTTACATTGTCGATTTCCTTTTTGTCGTGTGAATTAAAATAATAGTAAATTAACACTTTACTGAGAACTTTGAAAGTTCTGCGTTTGTGCTTAAGGTTTTGCAAGATAAAATCGGTAACCTATTCTGTGTCAAGTAAAGGTGAAAACTGTTCTGTAAGCTTATCCAAGCAAATTTACTTGAATGAATTTACACTTCTTTAGTAGGGGTATAAATAAAGGGTAAAGGTGACTTAATCGAGGTATTCTTATAGAAACTCCATTGTTACAGCATTAAGGGACATGGAACAAGTTAAATAGTCATAATCTTCTGCTGTGTCTTCCAGTAACCACAGTCAGATCTGGGAAGGCATGCTTTGTGGCTGTGACAGGAAGATATTTTACTTCACCTCATCTTTAAAACAATTTCATAAAGTCAAAATTGACATTTGCTAAGATAACATTAAATTATAAATTAAATACTTCCAAAATTACAGTATACAACATTAAGTACAACTGACTTTACAGCATCACAATATGTTGCGACCTAGACATTATTTCTTTTTAGTACAGAAAATTCTTCCATTTTTAATGAATTTAATATAATGTATTGAATACTTTGCCTAATCTGTTATTTATTGAGTTTTCAAATATAATTTCTATTATAGAAGTACTGACATTGACAGGAGTTCTCTCAATTTTATTAATGGAAAAAGAACAGGATGCATACATTGTCTCTTTCCAAATTATTTAAGCTTCCTTTAAAGGAGGGGTGGCTAAATCTGTTTAACAGAAGAGTGGAAAATAGAGAAGATAGTAACCAAAATGAAAATGAGAAGGGCATAATTACTAGCTCATTCTGAACTTCACAGATGCATAATATAAGCTAATATGTTTTCCAGTCCTTTTTGTGGAAAGGCTACTGTTTCATATTGGTGCTGACAATATTGACAGTGAATAATCTCCATTGTTTGTTCTTGTTTCTGTTCTCAAAATCTGGGAAGCAACCCCTTGTTTCTAAAGCTTCATTTGATATTTTGAAAAAAGTTATTGACCATCTTAATATATTCATTGTATTAGTAGGCACTTATGATTTGAAAAATAATGTGTGTAGGGGAATATTGAGTATTGTAGTGTCATAGAATATATTGCCACAAGAAGAAAAGACAACAGTAGTTTTTAGGGCATTAGAAAAAGTATTCTCCTTGGTTTTTCCATGTATATTCTCATGTAATTTTTATATACATCAGGCATGTAGTAGGTGCTTAATGTTTTTTAAATCATTGATATAATTAACAATAGACAATAGAAAACATACAGTGCCCAACTAGGACTGCCTATTATAGATATCTGATTTTACTCCTTAATTAAAAAATTTAAAAGTTTATATATATATATATATAAAAATTGAGGTGTGTTGATAACGGTTCCTGGAAGCATAGGAGTTTATTAAACTATTCTACTTTTGCATACATTTGAAAACTGTCGATAATAAAAGTTACATTGTCGATTTCCTTTTTGTCGTGTGAATTAAAATAATAGTAAATTAACACTTTACTGAGAACTTTGAAAGTTCTGCGTTTGTGCTTAAGGTTTTGCAAGATAAAATCGGTAACCTATTCTGTGTCAAGTAAAGGTGAAAACTGTTCTGTAAGCTTATCCAAGCAAATTTACTTGAATGAATTTACACTTCTTTAGTAGGGGTATAAATAAAGGGTAAAGGTGACTTAATCGAGGTATTCTTATAGAAACTCCATTGTTACAGCATTAAGGGACATGGAACAAGTTAAATAGTCATAATCTTCTGCTGTGTCTTCCAGTAACCACAGTCAGATCTGGGAAGGCATGCTTTGTGGCTGTGACAGGAAGATATTTTACTTCACCTCATCTTTAAAACAATTTCATAAAGTCAAAATTGACATTTGCTAAGATAACATTAAATAATAAATTAAATACTTCCAAAATTACAGTATACAACATTAAGTACAACTGACTTTACAGCATCACAATATGTTGCGACCTAGACATTATTTCTTTTTAGTACAGAAAATTCTTCCATTTTTAATGAATTTAATATAATGTATTGAATACTTTGCCTAATCTGTTATTTATTGAGTTTTCAAATATAATTTCTATTATAGAAGTACTGACATTGACAGGAGTTCTCTCAATTTTATTAATGGAAAAAGAACAGGATGCATACATTGTCTCTTTCCAAATTATTTAAGCTTCCTTTAAAGGAGGGGTGGCTAAATCTGTTTAACAGAAGAGTGGAAAATAGAGAAGATAGTAACCAAAATGAAAATGAGAAGGGCATAATTACTAGCTCATTCTGAACTTCACAGATGCATAATATAAGCTAATATGTTTTCCAGTCCTTTTTGTGGAAAGGCTACTGTTTCATATTGGTGCTGACAATATTGACAGTGAATAATCTCCATTGTTTGTTCTTGTTTCTGTTCTCAAAATCTGGGAAGCAACCCCTTGTTTCTAAAGCTTCATTTGATATTTTGAAAAAAGTTATTGACCATCTTAATATATTCATTGTATTAGTAGGCACTTATGATTTGAAAAATAATGTGTGTAGGGGAATATTGAGTATTGTAGTGTCATAGAATATATTGCCACAAGAAGAAAAGACAACAGTAGTTTTTAGGGCATTAGAAAAAGTATTCTCCTTGGTTTTTCCATGTATATTCTCATGTAATTTTTATATACATCAGGCATGTAGTAGGTGCTTAATGTTTTTTAAATCATTGATATAATTAACAATAGACAATAGAAAACATACAGTGCCCAACTAGGACTGCCTATTATAGATATCTGATTTTACTCCTTAATTAAAAAATTTAAAAGTTTATATATATATATATATAGCACCCTATCCTGTTATTTTTGTATTACAGCTGTTTCCTATGGGAGATGCATACACATTTTGAGGAAGCCATGGCAAAATCAAAACACAGAGTTTGTTTTCAAGAATCTTCAATATCTTCTCTCCTGGCAAGCTGCAGCCTAAGTAGTAGCAATTCCTCTAACTCTGATGGCTCTTTTCACTATAAGGATAAACTGTACAGTTCTGCTTCTCAGGCTCTCCAGGCCTACATTGACGATTTTGATCTAAGCCAGATGTATTCTGGTGCAAGTGCTGGAAAAATTAATATTGATGAGGGTGCTGCTAATATGCCACACTTCTCCAATTATATTTCTAAACCAAGCAATGGTATGCATTTATTCTTTATTTTCTTCCTGTCTAGTGATTTGAAGCATTTGAGAGATGTGCTGTGGCCTTATAAAGTTTGACATTTTTTGTTAAAAATAACTTTTATAAAAAATAACTTCTTTGATATTGATACAGAAATATTTTTGTAAAATGATTGCATAGTTCTCCAGTCTCCAGGAAATTTTAGCTAAGATCCTCTTTTGACGTTGGAGGGGAAGCTAATAAATGTGACTAATAGGTGGTTGATTCTAAACCTCTTAAGTCATTTTAGTATAATGGTAACAGTATTGATGTAGTGGTTCTGGCTTTCATTAACTTCTTTTTTTGTCCTGGGGATGGAACTCGGGCTTTGCACTTACGTGGCAGGCACTGGAACCACTGAGCTATATCCCCAGCCCTTTATTTCATTAACTTAATGGTTTTAAACCTCAACATTTATGAGTTTATACTTGCTCGGTTTCGCTTGATGGGATAGGATTGTATTAGCTTATCAGATATGTCTAGATGAAAACTGTTGAAGAATGGTAGAGAATACAGAACAATTCAAGTGGTTGGAGATGAACATGTATGAATTAAATATTGAAGACACAAAAAAGAAAGTACATTCTATTTTATCAATCTGTACCTTTTAAACCTTCAATACTTTATTGAGACAAAAGTCTCACTAAAAGGATAAGAGAAAAACAGCAAAAAGATTCATAAATTCTTAATTTACACTTATGGTTGGATATTATATTTGTGTGTAATAAAGATAAGCAAAACATGCTTTGTTTTTCAGCCATTGGATATCTTGATCACAAAGAGCACTTCTTATCATATAGAAGAGAGCCTGTTAATGACATAGACTCCATTAGCCTAACAACTGATGATCTGTTAAGACTTCCAGCAGATGGATCATTTTCTTTCACTTATGTTGGACCAAGTCATCGAATGAGAAAGAAAAAGAAGAAATACATTAGAAGATTAAGTTCATTGGACATTGAAAAGAATCCAGATTTTCAAGAGGCTTTTGCTCCCATGGGCATGGATGACTTAGTTACTCCAGTTGTGTACACAAATAGAAATCTTTGTGGTAGACTAAAAAACCCAAAACTTACAAATAAGACTAATAAAGGTGTTTCTGACTCATCTTTATCTTTTTCTAAAGAATCTTTCAAGGACAGTTCAGAAGATGGTCTTGAAAAGAATTATCCACGATGGCTTACTAGCCAGAAATCTGATCTTAATGTTTCAGGGATAACTAGTATTCCTGATTTTAAATATCCAGTTTGGCTCCACAATCAAGACTTGTTACCTGATGCAAATAGTCAGAGGATTCCTAAAGAAGAGCATTATTCTCCTAGACATAGTCATCAGGCACAAAGAACTGGACTTATGAATAAAGTAGAGTGTTTGGAATATTCTTTGGAACCTTCAAAATTTTCAAATACCTTCTGTGATAATAAACATCTTGTTAATGTATGCAAATGTGATTCTGAACATAGCCAATGTAAATATGCAACTCCACTTCTTCCTGGACAATCCAAAAAGCCATTCAGTGGTAATATTTTGTTTTTAGTTTTTTTTTAAACAAAGGAAGTGCTATAAATTTGACTTATATGAGCGTTTACATTTCATTTTTGGTACAAGCATGTAGCTTTTTAGAACGCTTAAGATATTGATGTAGCATTTTGTAACTATATTAATGTCTGTTTTCTCCTTTATCTTTGCTTAAGGGGTCACATTTTGATGTAATTTACTGTTATAAATGTGTATATTCCAAGTTATCATATGGATTTTGTGAGATTTAGTTGTACTTTCTTTTTTTTCCTCAAAGAATTAATGTAATTTTTAAAAATTAGGTGACAAAATTGAATTGCTTATCCTGAAGGCCAAGAGAAATCTAGAACAGTGTACTGAAGAATTACCAAGGTCTATGAAAAAGGATGACAGTCAATGTTCATTAGATAACCTTGAAGCAGAAAGATCATGGGAAAATATTCCTGTTACTTTGTAAGTAAGTGACAGTATTTACTTTTCCAAATGAAAAATGTAGTACCAGCTTTATTTTTAACTTCATGCTAATTAGTAATATTATGATGATATATAGCTTTCAGTTTTGCTTGCTTTAAATTGAATTTCATATGTGTTATCACAAGATGGTGTAGTGTTTCATACCTTTGTGGTACATTCTGATTTATGTATATATTTTGTTCCATTATTAAATATTGCCATAAATTTTAATATGAGAGATTAGAACCAAAGACAGTGATTTTGCGGTTGGAAGATTGTTGTGAAATTTGTGTTACTTTTTTTTTTTTTGGTACTAGGGTTTGAACTCAGGACCTTGCAATTGTGAGGCAGATGCAGTGCCACTGAACTAAATCCCTGACCCCGCCACTTTGTTTTTAGAATGAATATATTCTGTGATGAATGGAATTTTAGAACTTGCTTTGGGAACATTTTAATTTTTTTTTTTGAATACCAGGGATTGAACTCGGGTCCTTGTGCTTACAAGGCAGGCGGCAGAACTGCTGAGCTAAATCCCCAGCCTGGAACGTTTTAATTTTTTTTTTGTTTTGTTTTGTTTTTGGGTCTGGGGATCAAACTCAGGACCTTGTGCTACAAGGCAGGTGCCATGCCGCTGAGCTAAATCCCTGGCCCTGGAACATTATTTTTGCTAGAGATGCCATTTACTACTCCCTGAACACCAGGGAATAAATGAGTATTTATTGGGCATCTATTACATAAACCAGTGCATAGAGAATAACTGAAGTTATTTTTGTAATCAATACCTCTGTGAGATAAGTGGAACAATAAATTTAGAAACTAAAGTTCAGACAAATTCCCAAAGATCATAGGATGAGTAGAACTGAGATTTCTACATAACAATTTTAATTAAATAAAATTTTAATTTAAAAATTAATCCCCTTTCCAGTATAGTCAATCTTTTACATTAATACAAGTTCTGGAGAGTAAGTATGTCCTATTGTCTTGACGTGGTACATTCCAGTAGAAGCTCTTAAGGGTTTGTGGAGGTTTGACTATCACTGGATAAATAACTTTAATTTTAATTTTAAAAAATTTTTTGGTGATGATAAGAATTGAACCCAAGGCCTTGCACATATTAGGTAAGCAGTCTACAAGTAAGTTATATCCTAATCCTTGACTGTTTAATTGGAAAAATGTACTACACTGCTAATTTCAAATTAATTTTTAGAGCTATAGTTTAGAGTTTATTTAAGGACTTAAATCTTCAGTTTCTTTATAGTTTTTCCTTAAAGAAGTACAGGGACAGAAAGGTGTTGGATTCTGTTGTTGGTTTAGGGAGAGGATGGGGAAATTATACAGCATTAATCACATCCATGATGGTTATTTTTTTTAAAGTGAGTTTATTGGTACATTTTAGGTACACAGTACAGTTACATTCTTTATTGGGATCTTGTACCTCTACATGGCAGGTCTTGGTACTCATTTTTTCCCCTTGTCCTTGCCCTCCCTTCATCCCCTCCTCCCCTCCCTATTTACAAACACTTTATTTCCATCTTTTCATTTTCTCACATTTTTTTTCTTTTCCCTTATTACTCTTCCCCTACCCATCCCACCTTCCCTACACCTTTAGCCATTTTCTTCCCATTTCACAATGTCAGTTATCTCGTCATGATGGTTATTTCTTGGTGACTAGTTATATTTACGTGAAAATTCTTAAGTTATGACTAATTTTTAGGATTTGAGAACTTAATTGTTGTTTCATATCCTTTAAATCTATTTAGCAAATCTCCTGTTCCCGTTAATTCTGATGATAGTCCTCAACAGACTTCAAGGGAAAATTGTGCTAAAGAGGCTCTTGAAGACTTTTTAAGTAATGATAATCAGGTAAGTGAAGTTAAATCTCTTTAGGTTATTAAAAAAGGCTTATGACTAGTACACATTAATTTTTACGTTATTTAGATATTTTTAAATCAGAACACCCAAATCCTTTCTCCCCAACATAGATTCATAAAACTATCACTTCTTCTAGAATTATTGGTTATTTTATTTTAATATTCAAAAGTAGGAGGACCAAGGTGGGAGGTGTCTGGAAAACAAAGTGAACCATTACAGTTTAGAGAAAATCATATTTTCTCATAGACCAGTTGTTTACTTGTGTTTCTAAGAAACAATGATCTATGATAATTTAGAATAGGTAAATTATTACCCAGTTTTACAAAATCAGCTTTATGTTTATCTTACAAGTAACCTTCAAAATATAAAGTGTAAAAGATGATATATAATTGGCCTTAAAAATATAAGCATGCCTCCTATTAGATATTGAAATAATACATTAGTGTGCTTAACTAAAAAATTAGAGGATTAAACACTTTAAAAATTGCTAACATATTTAGTAAAATGTGTCTTTTCTTTGAGTGTAATTTTTTTGAGAAATAGAAGCTGTCAGATTATGTCTGACTTTAGCTGTAAGGTAACTACTGTGGTAATATTGATGAGTAAAGCTTCATTATCAAATACTTACTTAGACAATATTTGAGTACTGAGCAATTGTCTGGAAAATTATTCCTAGTACTGTAGTAAATAAGATAAGGGGAAGTACCTCCCCTCTTCTGTTTTACATCCTAATTGAGTTAAACAACAACAACAACAACAAAATTCCAAACCTAATATGTGATACATAAAATACAGTAAATGTTAGAAAAATTAACTGGATTATGGAGATCAGGGTACAATATCAGGAATGGTGAAATTTTAGCAGAAACCTGAAACGAGTGAACAAAGCACCCAAGAGGGAATAGCTTTACATGTAGTGGTAATAGAAAGTATGGAAAATTCAAGGCAGAAATGTGTTTGACATGTCCCAGGAATGTCGGAGTCCATTCAGTGTCTTGCCATTGGAACAAACAAAGGTTGGAGTGTGAAGGGGAAATTGGAGAGATAGCCATATGGCAGATCATGTAGGATTTTGTAAGCTGTAAAGATTTTTTATTTGTTTTGACTTGGGAAGTTACTTGAGGGTTTGTAGTGGAGGAATGAAATAACGTACATTTTTTACATAGAAAATTGCAGCTGTGTGGAATATATTGTAAAAGTACCCAGCGAAGGAGTTGAGAACCCAGTTTGTAGGTGTCTTAGTCACTTTCCTGATGCTGGGACACACAAAATACTCAAAATCTATCACTTAAAGGGGAGGTTTGTTTTGGTTTGTGGTCAGCTGGCTCCAAGGCAGGAAAAGGATGGCAGAGGTAAAGACGTTCAACTGATGGAAGCCAGGAAGCAGAGAGAAAAGGGAGGGGCCAAGGACAAGAATACATCCTCCCAAGTCATGCCTCCAATGACTTACCTCCAACCAGGCCCAACCTCCTAAAGTACATTCAGCCATTAACTCATCAGTGGATGAATCCACTGATTTTGTATATTGACCCCATTGTCCAAGTCACCTTCTAAAAGCCCCACCTCTGAATACTTGAGACTTATGGGAACATTTTGTATCCAAACCATAACAGGAGACTTGAAGTCTTTTGGGATAGTAATTTGGGATAGAGTAGATCCTTTAGACTTGGTGAGAAGTTGTTAGACTTGAGGTATATATTTGAAGGTAGGTCTGATAGGATTAACATGCTGTGAGGAGATTGGTGATGGCATTTTCTTAGAAAGGTACACTGGTAGAAGAACACATTGGGAAAACTTTTTAAAGTTTGAGATGGATGGATGTTAAATATTGACCAAATGGTATGTCCTTGCTTGCTCAAACATGCACAATCACATGGTCTTTCTGTTTTTTCAATGTGTTCATTTGTTTTAGATGTAAACAGAATTGCAAAAATAATGCTAAGTTATTGTGTTCCCCTTCTATAGCTTCGTCTAATATTAACATCTTACATAACCACAGTATAGTGATTACCAGTAGGTAATTAACATTAGGTAAATAACAGGCAAAACAAAACTATAGACATTAAAATTTCATAAATTTCTTTTTTCTTTTTTTTTTGAGACAGGGTCTCACTATATAGTTCAAACTGTTCTGGAACTCACTGTGTAGCCCAGGCTGGTCTCAAATTTGCAGCAATCCTGGATCCTCCTGCCTCAGCCTCCTGAGTGCTGGGATTATAGGCGTGCGCCACCACGCCCAGCCACAAATTTCTTAACCAATGATTTATTTCAGGTTTTACTTTAGGATGCAACATTACATTTAGTTGTCATTTCTCCTTAAATCTGCTTTATCCCTATGGCAGCTGTTTAATCTTTTCGTGGTAATCATTAGTTATTTTGTAAATTTGGGTTTGTATGACATTGTCTCGAGATCAGAATGAGGTTGTGCATTTTTTGGAAGAACACAAAAGAAATGATTTTGTGCATCATATTAGAGAGTCATGATACTTTGATGTCAGTGTATTGATATGCTAATGCAATAAAGTAGCAAATGGTTATATTAATAAGTAAGGATATTATATTTATAGTCTGTTAATTCTGGTGATGTTAACTTTGAATGCTGGGTTAAGGTGGTCTTTACTGGTTTTCTCCTTAGTAAAGTTACCAGTTCTCCTTGGAATTAATAAATGTCTCATGGCAGATACTTTGAGACTATATATATACCTATCATTATGCAATTTGTCTTCTATATTTATTAGTTACAGTTCTTGTGACAAGAAGAGCTATACTTTCTCCCTTGTTTGTTTATAAAGTTTTAGTAAGGACTCAGACATTTATTGTAGGTTCATAATACAAAATTATTATTTTTTATTTGTTTTAAAATTGTTACAGTTTAGGCTTTTAAGAATTCTGATTAACTCCAGTGGATTTTTTGGCATGTTTCCATTTTTTGAGTACTTTGAGGAGCTGTGGTTCTTTGTATTGAAAACTGATGTTTAGAAACTTGATTTAGGCACTAGGTTTACTTATTGCTACTGGACTGTTATTATACACTTTCTTGCCAGTGTGACCTAGGAAACATGTTTATCTACCCATATATTACCACACATCTATGTTTTTCTGTCTATCTGCATAGCATTCTAATTGATTTCTAGTCCAATTCTGATTTGTTTTAGCTTTTCGTTATTTGAATTTCTTTTTCCATCTACATGAATTGTATTATCTACAATGAATTTACTTATTTGTTCAATGTTAGTATGTACATAAAATAGTTTCATAATTGCTAACCATATACATAAGAACCAGATTTACCAAATAGATTATTTATTTATACATAGGTCTTTTGTCATTAGCCTTAAGATATCCAAACAAAATACTGTCTTCCAAAGTTATCTAGGTTATTTTCTTCTCATTTTTTAAAGTATTTTTGTATTATAATACTGTTAGATGGTCTGTTATTATGTGTATTGGACTATCCTCATGTTCTTTTTGGTTTAAATTGTCTGTTTTTTGAATATGTGAAACCCGCTGATTCTGAGTTTGATGAAAACAAAAGAGATATATCTGGATAATGCTGAGGATTTAGCTCAGTGGTTCTGCGTTTGCCTTGAAAGTAGAAGTTTAAGGTTCTGAGTATGATCCCTGGCACCAAAAAAAAAAAAAAAAGATGTACCTAGACACATTAACTACTACGTTCTAATGGAAAATCTCAGAACAAATTGTGACTCATATCAGTATTTACTTAGCTGAATCCTTTACATGCTGTTTCTTTTTCTTTGTTTTTTTTTTTTTTTGTTACCAGGGATTGAACTGAGGCCCTTGCACTTGCGAGGCAGGCAGCAGAACCACTGAGCTAAATCCCTGGTCCTGCTCTGTTTCTTTTTACAAAAATTTTATTGTAGCAAAATATATACATGTAACATAAAATTTGCCAGTTTTCCCATTTTTAAGCTTGCTATTCTGTGGCAGTCAGCACCTTCACATTGTGTGTAGTTACTGTGATTCATCTTCAGAACTTTTTCGTGTTCTCCAACTGAAACTCTGTATCCATTAAACATTAACTTCTCATTCTCTGGTAAGAGCAGCATTCTACTTTCTGTTTCTATAAATTTGCTACTCTATGAATCACATATAAGAAGTATCAAAATATTTGTCCTAGTGTGTCTGGCTTATTTCATTTAGCTTAATGTCTTCAAGGTTCATTTGTGTTATAGGATATGTCAAAATTTTGTTTCTTAGATTGAATAATGCTTTTTGTGTGTGTGTGTACCACATTTTGCTTATCTGCATATGGGTAGTTAGTTTCCTTCACCTTTTGACTGTTGTGAGTAAGCTAGTATGAATATGGGTGTACAAATATTGGTGTGAGTCCTTGTTTTCATGTCTTGTGAGTAGATACCTAGAATGCAAATTGGATACATACCTTGAAGATTATATAGTAATTTAGTAAATTCTGTGTTGAAGTTTTAAAGGAATTGCTATACTATTTTCCTTAGGGACTGTATCATTTTACATCCCCATACGGTTTCTTACATCCTGTTTATATAACTGAGGGAATATTTTAAAATATTTTTTAGCTATTTGGTTACCTTGAAATCTTATGCAAGTACATAACTTCCTATATAATTGAAGTTTATTTTTTTATTTTTTTTTATTGAGTTTATTGGTACATTCTAGGTGTACAGTATAGTTACATTCATTACTGGGATTTTGTACCTTTACATGACAGGTCTTGGTTCTCATTTTTTCCCCTTGTCCCTACCCTTCCTTCATTCCCTCCCCTCTCCCCATTTACAAACACTAATTCCATTTTTTGATTTTTCAAATCTTTTTTCTTTTCCCTTATTCTCCTTCCCCTACCCTTCGCACTTTCCCTACCCCTTTAGCCCTTTTCTTCCTATTTCATATTGTTAATTATCCCATTAGGATCTCGAATACTATTACACTTTTTCACACCAGAGAAACTATTTGGTATTTACTCATGTGTGACTTATTTTACTTATGAGTATATG